CCACTTTTTTCTTAATGTTTCGGCCACTGTGGGGGTGTTTCTACGCCTCGGAAGTGACGTATATCCGACGATGGGCTAAACAAATTAGAGATGCTTGCTCAACGGGCCAAACTATCTTTGAAGGCTTGATTCTAGAAAGCTGACATCTGGATCCAATTTTGAAACTCGATCTACAATGAGTCGTAGGTGTTATGCCTAGCCCCGGCCGCTCCCCTCCTGCTCCTCCTGGGCAGCGAGCGTGTACATGAAAAATTATAATGTTAATCTTCGGATGGCACGAGCAAGTAGAGCAGGCAACTATATCTCTTTCACAATAATGACTGAAAGTTTAATTCAATCCCACGATCAGGCTCTGACAGTGGGTTGATGGATAGATGACTGCCCACATTTTCGACTTCAAGTCAAAATTTTAGATTTGGACCAAATGTTGTTGAAAGGGGTGTTTCGACGCGCTGAACACGAATATCGCATCTGCTTGGCACGAAATTGCCTTACGCGTGCGCTACGGGTGTCAGAGGCGGTCACTTGCAAATGACGCGCACAGTGCTTCTACTGTGCTGTAGGCAATACGCTATGATACCTTACGCCATGGATAAGAGGCCTTCAAAGATAGTTTGGTCATTGACCAAGCATCTCCCATTTGTTTAGCCCATCGTCGGATATACGTCACTTCCGTGGCGTAGAAACACAGTGGTCGAAACATTACGAAAAAAGTGGAATGCGTTAAACAAACCCCTCTAAACATGCGTTAGCTTTGGACGCAGTGAAAATTTCAACACTGAATAATTTTTTATTTAAATTAGACCTAATTACAAAAAGCAAAAAACCATGCCCAGCAAGATCCCATCCATGGTCTTACCACTGGAAGCCGCCAACACTACCACTCGGCCAAGCCGCCGCTGGAAGCCGAGCTCTGCCGGAGTCTCTTACAGTGGGCTTTCATTCGAAACAACCTCCGTAACACAAATTTGGAGAGTGGATTCGAGATCAGCGTCCGAAAACACATCTCTGAGTATAGGTTTCATTACGGATGGCCACTTCGACTTGGTATCCTTCCCTTGTAAGAAGAGGATGTGCTATGGCCACTATATGTGGACTATTTTTCCAAATAGCGGTGGAGTTGCGATGAAGATGCGTTTGCGCAACATCGTCGTTTCGCGATGGTTATACCATATCTCTAGGTTAACTCTACCCGTTTTCGTGCTTCTCGTTTTGCTTCGTGACACAATTTTTCGATTTTTGAAATGTTTTCTTTATTTCAGTACGGAAAGGAAGCCAAAAGATGACCACGATGAACGATCTTCCCCACTTGGAAGCAGGGCAGAGTTACACACAGCAAGAGTCATGAACTCTGAGAGGAGAGACTCGGTATGCGCTTTTTTGATAACTTTTACTAATTCAAAGTCCGCACATACGATGTGCCTAGAAATGAGCGCGAGTAGATTTTTTGCTACTTTGTGTTGTGCATTGCTTTGACAATTTCTTCGTTGGAATTGCGAACGCCAAGCAGGTGAGAAAGCTCCTACTAATCTTCTCCGGACTCTAAATAATGACGGTCAATTGAGAAGTGCTATCATCAACGATGCAGCGAAGATCAGCCACCCTACAGTAGCTTTCCACTCTTCTTGCAGAGTAATCTCAAGGGAAAAAGTACGATTCAAGAAAGAACCCCCGGAACCCCCCATTGACTTTTTCACCTTAAAACCTCCTGCTTCAAGCTCTGGGATCACAGCATCGACTATTCGCTAGTGCGACTAGTGCAACAAGTCACGAATAGTCATTAATCATATATAGATGATGGACATCGCTTTTGTTGCGTAATAACTTCGTATAGCTCGACGTCGCGAGAACTTTTGGGACACATCAAGGAGTTGGAAGTAGCGATAGGCGTTGCAGATATGTATAAAAGGATAATAAAGGCTCCACGGAAAGTTCTACGCAAACTACGAAGTTTTACTGCGTCCCTTCCTAGTTAATGATACGAGGATATCCGAAGACAGTGCTGGCTAAGGTAAAATGTCTAGGCAGCGTAGCGCAATGACCTGAGCAAGCCAGCCCGAAGTTTCTGGGGGTCCCATGAAAGACAAGAACAGGGCTGAGTGTCTCATTAGAAGCAGCGAGATGTGAATTTACGTAGCGAGTTCCACGTATCTGCATAGTATATATATTGGTACAATGTAAGGAGTTGGATGAATCTGCTGGGGGATCCTGAAAGCTCTTTCGTTCCAGCTTTTTTGAGCTCAAAAAACCTGAGTACACTCTTATCAGAGTTATTAAATTTTTGAAACACCTTCCTTTTTATCCATTAGAAAATCGAAAACAGATAGGGAGCAACATCAGCGTTAATGTAAAACAGAGCATCAAACATTGAATTGAGGCCACGCGGTCGACCACTTGATTTATTGAGAACCAGACATCGGTTCATGAGTGCCTGTGCGCTCTTCCAAACAATAATCACTTCAACTTGCCCCCGGCAATGAGTCAAATGTCGTCAGAAATCACACACTCGCGCTAGAACCCGACGATGAGTCTTGCCAGGAATCACACACGTCAATAATCACCTCTTGAATTTAAAGGGAATTCCTCTTTGAAGAGCAATACTGTAATCAATTCGAATCATACTTTGCTCACAACTCCTTAATAACGTGACTCTGGATTTGTTTACTTTGCACATATCATTTATTTATTTTATTACGTTTGCATAAGGCAGTCGCGAGAAAGACATACAGCAAGAATTGTAAAAATAGAACTACACTAATGACAAAAAACTAATATTACTAATAATAAATAGCCACAACTAACTAATGCTACGTAATGATGACAATCAGGTTGAGTTTGGCCTCTATGTTAGCCATAACCTTCTTCTCCCCAGGTTATGCCATCTTTCTATAATGGCTCTAAGCTGCAGGTTCATCGAAACATTCGCTTTCCTTTTTCATTGGACGGATTTAGGGAGTCACTGAAGTGGTACCGATGAAGCGTTGGTTGACAGACCACAACTGACATTTGGTCAGCTTCACTTTGTTGACCGAACAGCTTTCGCAGGCCTTGCACACATTTTTTGCGCTGCAGTCGGAACAATTCCGTTTCTTTTGACAGTACTTTTAACCAATTGAAGAGTTGTACTGTGTTATATTATTGGGGCATTCAAAGCGCAACGGACAAAAATTGACCTACATAATTTCTCGGGCGGCCGTTTTTCTTGGTTTACTCCTCATCACTGCACCTTTGACCATCTCTACCTTATCTCCAACGGACTGCCCTCCAGAGACAAGCGTGCGTTAAGGAATCCTCGACGGGGGGGGGGGAAGGGGTCACATTTGGACCGCTGGAAGGAAGGGGTTGGGCTGGATCGATGCTGTAGGATCATCACTGTCGGGGGACTGCATAAAGCACATACATATATATCATAGGTATATCAAGGAGTGATCGAAGCTGTGCAAGGATTGCACAGCATCGATCACTCCTTGATGGATTTCCCAGAAAAATGTATTGGATTTCCCATAACAATGTTATTCGGCTCACATAAAGTATTCGTGGTTTAAAGGAGTCCGCATAGTAATTCTTAGCTACTGTGATTTATCACGACAAAGTTAAGAATCCGAAATTCGCACGTTTTCCAAGGGATATTTTATCTTTCAAGTGAGTCCTCCAATCTGAAGGGATGTGAAGCACACGGCGCATCCCAGAGTGGGCCCAGTTGTTGCGCGCGCTTCAACTACGGCTCTCTGGAGAAAGAATCTCAATTCAGGAAAAATCAAGAGGATTCTGAAAGGGTCCGTGTGAAATTACAGGAGGAGTACACCATTCAACAAGAAATGCAGCCTTCAGCGTCAAATTCATAAGCATGTAATCGTTAAATGTGGTTCGCCAAACAATTCAACATTTACTGGAAAAAGCAAAGAAACGAACTTAGGACCTGCTCCCACTTTTGTACATACCTCAAAGGAACTATAGCTGTTGAAATAAAGTCAATGCAGCGAAAAAGTACCTTTCGGTACTCGGGCAAAAATCCTCAACGTGGCCATTTTTTAATACGTATTGAGCTGTTCTAGCAACCATTGAATAGAGCAAATCTTCTAGTTTTGTATGCCATATTAACTTTTCAAATTTGACGAAAATGAAGCAAGTTATGGCTTCGGAAAGTGTAAAAACTCGTGCTCATCATGAATTTTCCTCGTTAATTGATCTAAATTTGTTATTTCTCATAATTTTTGTAATTTCAATACTGTTTAGAAAGAGCTCTTCACAAAACTCCCAAATCTGCTTTCAGATTGAAAATTCGTCACTTTGAAGAAAGTTATAATCATTTGAATATTTGTTCAAATTTCAATAGTAAATAAGCTGCTCCACGGTCAACGCCAAAGATCAGTCAACACACAGCTGGCTAAGGCGGTTACAAGGCTTCTTTCAAGCAAAGGGGGACGTGTAAATTGAGAACCATACTCTGTGTAGTACTAAGAATTGGTAAGCCTTCTAAAGTAAATATAAGAAGAATGGATGCTATCATAGTCTGGTATCTTCCATGGATGATTCGTTTTGGCCTCGGTAGGATTTATTGTATGAGTTCTCTTTGACTTTTTCTACTTGTTGAGTCTTTTTCGAGGAAGGGTGGGGTGGAGGTTGGCACCCATACCCTCCTGACGAGGTCTTATTCACGGAGGTGAACTCCCCTCGCAGTTGCCCACCCCACTGAAAGCCGCACCGGCAGGTGGTTCCCCGCAGTCAGCCCAGCCGATTTCTCAAGAAGGCAAAGCATCGATGAAGTCAGCACCAACGAGGAGTCGCCCAACGTGGAAAGCAATGGCTAAAACAGGCGCCCTGTTCTCGTGTTTTTTGAACCTCTACTCTTAATTTGTTTAACGCTGCTGTACATCCTAGGAACATTCGTTTCCAGTGTGCAACCAACTTATGCTACCACCTGGCTTAGTGACCCTCTAACCGCCTCTCAAACATGACACGTGAAAGCAGTGAATTATATGTAGCAAAGGGAATGCAGTTGAGAACAAAGTATGATATTATTTGAGCCAAATATCGCAGCAGTCTGCATCTATTTACTTTAGAGCTTCAAGGTTAAATTTTAGGGAGATGGTTTCCGAAGAGAAGCGCTGAAATCAACCGACTCGATGCAACGGCAGAACTCTAGACTGTCGTTTGAGAGCGATGGCGGTATATCCGAAATCAAGAACTGCGCAGAGGAAACATGGAATGAAAAGGAAGAAGCCAAGTGAGTTCCTGGGATTAGTATCCTACTATATATAATTCGCTAAGTATGTCTGTCTGTGTGGGTGTGTGTGTCTGTCTGTACGTACGTCCGTCTGTCACGAAATTCATAGCGCGCTTCGCTGCAGGCATGGAACGCTGTATTTTGAGTATGGTGTAGGGGGTGGGACGGCAACATATTTGGTGGGGTTTATAAAGTGATACCGACTGATAAGATCTGATAAGAGGCGCCAAAACGCCAATTTCATGATATTCATAGCGCGTGTCCCAGCAGTGGTGGGGCGTTGGTTCCAAGAAGTGATGTGTACAGGGTGGGACGGGAACATATTCAGTGGGGTACAGGAAGTGATAAGGGCTGATAAGGGTTGATAAGAGGCGCTGAAATGCAAATTTTCTGAAGGTCATAGCGCGCGTCCCGCAGCAGCAGCGGGCGTTGGTTCCAAGAAGTGATGTACAGGCGTGGGACGGGAACATATTTGGTGGGGTTTAGAGAGTGATACCCATGATAAGATCTGATAAGGGCGCTGAAACAAATTTCACGAAATTCATAGCGCGCGTCCCAGCAGCAGTGGGCATTGGTTCCAAGAAGTGATGTACAGGGTGGGTAGGGAACATACTTGGTGGGGGTCAGAAAGTGATAAGAGCTGATAAGGGTTGATAAGAGACGCTTGAAATGCAATATTACATGGAATCATAGCGCGCGTCCCAGCAGCAGTCGGGCGTTGGTTCCAAGAAGTGATGTACAGAGTGCGACGGGAACATGTACGGTGAGGTAAGGAGGTGATAAGGGCCGATAATCACGTGGGAACATATGGATCGCCTTAAAACCGTGGTTCTAGATAACGCATTTCACTTCAGAATCATCTCATTGCGTTGTTGTCATCAACATAAATACCGTTCGACCGCTATATTCCCAAAATCCCTAAGAATGTATGATGGATGTTTAGCGATATACGATATTGGGTATTTCTATTGCAAAATCATTGGCATCAATATTATTCGACCGCTAAATCATCCTGACATCCAATGCATGGTGGCTGTTTACAGACCACTTTAGCTCCGCACTCCACTGCGCGTATCAGACGGTTGGTTGAAAATGGGCATTCTGTAGAAGGCCAGCTAACGCATTTCAAATAAGAAAGTATATTGTGACCAACGTCTCCGGTGCCAGCTGGTTACGGAACCCTTCGTGTATGAGCGGTGACGGACCTCGACCACCACCAACAAATGCGAACGAAAGAGAGAGGTTGCGGAGCTATAGATGGTATATATATATATACCAGATTAAGTCCCGTCAAACGCCTTGACCTCTTTAATGCCGCAAGTTTCTTCCTCGTCATGGTCTATCCTCTGATGCCCAACACCTTGATGGACAACGCGTATGCAACACAATGGTGTTTCCTACAGTAGAAGGGAACAATCATGATATGACGGTAGATTTTCGCTTCCCTTCCTCATCCTCCCTTCCTCTCTCCACTGCCCTCCAGCTGCCACTGCAGCACCATGTGGAATGAACGGAAGTGTGCTAAGCAGGTGTTTATATAGCCCTAAGAGTGTTATCACAACTATCCTGCTACAAAACATTGATATCTCAAATCCTGTGAGCTACCCCATTGTTATCGGTTTGTTTATGAGATCTTTCATCCTTCATTTTGCGGTACGGACACATACATTAACATACACACGCACACACACAACACACGCTACACACATAAATAACAAACGAAAACAATTGAGCGCTAATAATATAGTAAGTATATATATCCTATATATATATAATTCGCTAAGTATGTCTGTGCGTGTGTGTGTGTAGGTCTGTGTGTGTTTGTCACGAAATTCGTAGCGCGCGTACCAGCAGTCACCTGGAGTTGATTTCGGGATATGATATAGGGGGTGGGACGGGAACATATTTGGTGGGGATGGAAAGTGATAACTACTGATAAGATGTGATAAGGGACGTTAGAACGCGGACGTCACGAAATGCATGGAGCGCGACCCAGTAGCAGTGAGGCGTTGTCTTCCGAATATGATGTAGGGGTGGGACGAACATATTTGATGGGGACCAGAAAGTGATAACAGCTGATAGGGGCTGATAAGAAGCGTTGGAAGGAAAATGTCACGACATTGACAGCGCAAGGCCCAGCAGCACTGAGGCGTTGTTTTGCAGATATGATATAGGGGTGGGACGGGAACATATTTGATGGGGACCAGAAAGTGATAACAGCTGATAGGGGCTGATAAGGAGCGTTGGAAGGAAATGTCACTGAAGTTCTTATCCAGATGTGGGATAAGAAAACATCTCATTTTTTCGCGATGTCGTCGTGATCCATTCGACCGCTAATCTGCCCCAGCTTCTTAAAGGGCCTGTGTAGATATGATAACTATTGGTGTTTCTATCTCATCACCGTTATTCGACCGCTTGACTATCCCAATATCCAAAGCATGGTAGATGTTTCGCTGAGGGCAGAAAATGAACAGCCTAACTAATTGTATTAATCATGCAAAGGTCATTCGACTGCCATGCCCTTTTGATCAAGATTCCCTTTTGAACTCTTCAATGACTTCTGAGCACTGAACACTGCTGCTATACTCATGAATGTATGTGTATATGTTTATACATTACTCATAATCTACGCGTATGAGGTAGGAATCCACACTCATAAAATCGCGATGGTTCTAACCGAAAAGATGACCCCCTTCAGGGTGTTGAAGTGATACAGGTGATAAATATACAGGGTGGCTACTAAATATTGGCGCATGGTTTATTGACCATATTTCCAAAAGAGAAACTATTACATATTCAGAAGTTTATTTTTATATACAGTAAAACATATCAATGCATTACTGAAGAAGGTGCTCGAAATGGCCTCCTTCGGCAGCGATACAGGCTTCAAGTCTCTTCTCAACTGACATCACCGTGGGCCGCAAGTAAGTGACGTCAACGTGACGCGAGAAGATCATCACACTGGAATTGGCGCACAATTCTCAAAAGGACAGGCAATTGTTGGATCCGGCTAGCAGGCATCCTGCTCGTCGTGCGCACACAAGGAGCCGATTTCCAAAATCTGTCATGATTTAGGCAGGAATTACTTCCGACACCGAGACACCGTTTGTCTTTGTGGACAAATCCGTCAAAATTAACG